TATTGGGGAGATTTGAGAAGAGCAAACAAAATTACAAATAGGGAAAACCCAGTTTTTCTGCATATCTACGCCAAAATCCTGCCCATGATGGGGTTAATTTAGGAAATATTTGAGGAATCAATTAAATTTACTAACATATTTTACATGACTGGTTAGTTTTCGTTATTTAGCAGTGACACTTTTGGTAAGCATTCTGCTTCCGACATTGTATCAGTAATTTTTCTATTTTTTCAACTTGTTTATTAGGTAATGGGATTTTTCCTCATTCTAGCCATTCACGCCTGCCTTCTTCTGACTAGCTCGACGTATGCCAACACAGAGTTGAGCTTCACTCGACCGGATGATCACGAGGAGCTGAGTGTCAGGCCAGGCGAAGTTGCATCTCGAAATCCCGGACTTCGCCAGTCAGCTCTCGATCTCGCCCTAGAGGCTGTAAAGCTAAGGCTATCCGCTGAAGATGCGACTAAGATTGCAGCGAAGCTGACGAAAGCCAGTCAACACGCCATGTTGAAAGCGAATGCTGCATTCCATGATTGGAGCCAAATCAACGCACTTGGACGTTTGGATAGAACCCTTTCCTCCGAAGGCAATTCAGGCGAAATGAGTCATCTCAACATCAATGACCTTCTGGCAAAAAGAAAAAGCTTAGACGAGAAAAAAGAAAAAATGGAGCCTACTAAAGATAAGCATTTGAAAAAATCGGAAAATATAGCAGAGATGAGATCAACCTATCATCCCAAATTTCCCATCAAAGCTATGGGAATGTCAATGGATGATATCACTGCTTTCGATGAGCATCGTGAAACGAAGGATTTTCTCCCAAAATCGCAGCCAAAGAATGAATCAGGACAGCATCACGGCAAGTTTGAGGATAACGAAAAGTTGAAGGACATGGAAAATGAAAAGATTCTGAAAGACATAACTAATTTGCAGAGGCATAAGCTAAATCAGATTATCAACCGTTTAAAGTTGAACGCTCTTCGCCATTTGGAGTCAAATCAGTACGGCGTGCCAAGAGACGCTTTTCGAAGGAAGCACTTGATGGCTAAAGACGAACCAAATGAACACAACAATCTACCTTTTCTTTTTACGCCAGATTCGTCCAGCAGAAAATATCCACTCGCTCAATATGATATGATTAAACTGCCGTATAGAGAGAGGTATGAAGATCTTCTTATGAATACAAATGATAATACTGATAATGATGAGGCTGATTATGACGAGGAGGGTGAAATCTATCAACCCCACATATTTTCAACTCCATCGTGGAGGAGATCTCACTCGACAATGAATTCGCGAATTTAGGTTAATCATGCTTTTTATTGTTTCGCTAACGTTATGTAGTTGATCATAATATAATATGGTGCACTATAGAACATTTTCGTAACGTTAAAATAAAACAATAATCTATATTCTACATATAATTTCTCGGAATAATTTCTCCTTGCTTCTTTATCATCTCTCTTGCACATCTCAGTGCCTCCTAGAAAAGATGAAGACTGCAAATGCAATTTCTCATATCGTCGATAACATACTTTCTTATTTGTGTCATGCAATACAAGATGATATAATAAATTAACACCAAAAGAAGGCATCAGATGGGGTGGAAATTATAGGTTACAATCTTCATTATTGTTAACAATTCAGTTTGCCCAATGTTTCACCCTGACCGAGTGGTTCTAGCGAAAATGAATTCTAAATAAGGCTGTAGTTTGTGTTGAGCTTCATCGCACCAAGTACTCCATAATGGTGCCTTGTTCACAA